ACTGAATATTTACACATTTGCTAAAACTTTTTCTCAGTCTTTGTCTTGGCTTTCCATTTTTTAAAGTGGGCTGTATCTTTTTGCTATTATAAATAATGCTATGAAAAACACAGATGTAAATATACTATTCATGCAACAGCTCTTAGTTCTCTAGGATATATATCTAGAAGGTAGATTGCTAGACGATATGATATGATATTTCTAACTTTTAAAACAAACTCCTGTGCCATTCTTCACAGTGGTTATACCATTTTACATCCCACCAGCAGCCTATGAAGGTCTACGCTCTCCACACTGTTTTCTGTTTTGTTGATCATTATGATTATTGCTAGGGTGAGATAATGTCTGGCAATTGTTTTAATTTGTATATCCCTGGCACTGTAGGATAAGCACTGGGCTGCTAACTGCAAGGTATGTAATTGAAACCAACCAGTTACTCCTCAGAAACCCTATTATATAGTGTCTCTGACTTATAATCGACTCGATGGCAAATAACAACAATAGCTATTGAGCCCGGGTGGCATAGTGGATTATGTGATGGGCTGCTAACCTCAAGGTCAGCAGTTTGAATTCACCCTTCATAAGAACCTTTATAAGAACCTTCTGTTCTTATAAAGATTTATAGCCTAGAAAACCCTATGGAGGCTCACTATGAGTCTGAACCGACTTGACAGCACTTAACAACAACAACAACGGCTAATGGCCACAAGCATCATGTATTTGTTGGTCTCCTGAATGTCTTCTTTGGTGGTCTGTTCATGCCCTCTGTCCATTTTTTAATTTGATTGTTTGTGATTTTGTGTTTTACAGATGAATTTTTGTCAGATAATGCTGTTGTTACAACTTTTCCCCAGTCTGTAGGTTTCCTTTTCACTCTGTTAGAGAAGTTTCTTGATACACCTTAAATGTTTAATTTTTAGGAGTTATTTAGTTTATGTCATGTTGTTTGCAACGTTTTAGTTATGCTTGCTAGATTATTCAGGGTCTTTAAGTTTGTCCCTTCAAGAACAAAGATATCAATTTGAGGACTAAAGTGCACCTGACCCCAGTCATGGTACTCTCAATAGCTTTATATGCATTGAAAGTTAGACAATGAATAAGGAAGACCACAGAAGAAGTGATGCATTTGAGTTATGGTGTTGGAGAAGAATATTAAAAATAACATGGACTGCGAGAAGAATAAACAAATTTGCCTTGGAACAAGTACAGCCAAATGCTCCTTTTAAGCTAGGATGGTAAGACTTCATCTCCCGTACTTTGAACATATGATCAGGAGGGACCAGTCCTTAGAGAAGGACATTATCCTGGTAAACTGGAGGGTTGGCAAAACAGACCCAACAACCCCAACTTAGATGGACTGGCACAATGGCAGCAGCAATGGGCTCAAGCATACCAATTGTGAGGATGGTGCAGAAGCGGGAAATGTTTCATTCTGTTGTATATAGGGTAGCTGAGTTGGAACCAACTTGAAGAACCTAATAACAAGAAATTTGTCTCTCATGTTTTTCCCCCATGATCTTTCTAACTTTAGGTTTTATGTTTATGTTTTTCATCCATCTTGAGTTAGAGTTTGCATATGATGTGAGGTATGGATCTTATTTCATTTTTCTGCAAATATCCAGTTTTGTCAGCAACATTTGTGAAAACGACAACTTCAACCCCATTTAGTGGATTTCAGCCTTTTGTTGAAGATCAGCTGTCCTTAGGTGGATAATGTATGTGTTGTATTTTAAGCCAAAAATCTACTTTTCGGTTTCAGAGGGCAATCTTGCCTAGCTTTTGCCTACATTCTGAACTTGAACAAAGAAACAAAGAAAATATAACTCAAAAAAGGCCAGTTAACAAATAGAACTAGAGTGCCACCTGCTGGCTCCTCTGAAGGCACCACATTGGTTCCCTCATCAAAAATCTACTGTGCCTGCCAAGTGGACTCCTTACATGGTTCTCTCTCTGCCACTATTCCTGAGAATGACTGCTGAGAAATACCAAGTTCACCTACTCAGGGACCTGCAATGGTCCCCACCATGCCCAGCTGTAAGCCTACATACATCTGTTTAGTTTTCACAGGTCTTCTATAATCTAGCCCTACTCTCCACAGCCAATCAAGTCTCCAGCAGGATGAGTCAGTCCCCTTCCCTTCTCACAAAAGCTCTCCCCAAGCAGTGCTTTTGTCCCTCACAAGATGTGTCCTTCAAAAGTGCCTGCATCTTCCAGCTTCTTCTTTTCTACCTTCTCTTTTCCATTAGCACTGAAACATGCTCAACTCTATTCTCTCAAAATCTCCATGGGCCCCACACCTTCCCTCCATCCACCACCTAGCTTGTTACTCTTTCCTTCTTTTCCTAGAAGCATGATTCTTTGAAAAAACAAAATGCATACATACAAAGGGGGGTGGGAGGGCCAGAAAATCTCTGATGAAGTTGCCTGTCCCTATCATGTTCATTTCCTCATCTCACCTCCATTGACTCTCCACACACAGCTGTCTGGTGCCCACTTCCCCACTGAAATCACCCCTGCCCAGATCACGGATGATCTTGTTCAACCCAATGAACTCTTTCACCCTCATCACACTGGCTTCTCCACAGAAAGAGGTTACTGCTCTCTCTGGAAATACTCTCCTCTTAGGTTCTATGATACTCACATTTGCCTTTTCCTCTAGATTTCTAGTCAATCTTTCCCAGTGCCCCCTTTGGCCTTCAATCAATTCTAGTTAAAATTAAGTCTCTATCTCTCACTCTTCTAAAATTTCCACTTGATTCTTTTAAAGAGTTTTCAGTTGTTTGTGATATACTCATAATCTTAAATCCTTGAACATATGAAGGATTTTTCAAAATGTATGTCTGACCCACCTAGATTTCCAATGGGTCTGTTTCTATTTCTGATTTTTCTCTAAAGAGCTTTCTTTTACATGGGGGAGAGGGAGATCTCAAAATGTTCATGGAAAATAGGGTTGAAAGATAATGGGATTCTTCCACAAACTTTCTCAAGTCCCCTAGTATACCTGGTTATATGTGAATGAGTGATAAAATCATTGTTGTTGTTATTAAAGTGCCATAGAGTCAGTCTGGCTCATAGCAACCCTGTATACAGTTTCCGAGCAGTGGCTAGTGAGTTTGAACAACCCAGATTGCAGTTCGAACTGTCCCTTCTGGTCCAGGGCTTATCCTACAACGGCAAACCAGGACTCCGCCAAAACCACTGTATGTGAGCAATTAGTGTGAGAATCGGAGGCCCTGGATTATGTTACCTTCTTCCGTAGTAATTTTGTTTTTGCTTCTGGAAAGCAGACTAGAGACACACAGGCAATTCCAATCCCCTTTAATCCAATCAGTATTTAAATCATTCAAATCATCCTATGAGGGCTGATCTAATTTTGGGTCACTCCTTACTCCCAATAAATGGCTTTCAAGGTCAAAACCAAAAACCTATGTATTGATCACATTCTTTCCTATTTCCAAAATGTAACTTCCAATTTAAATTTTGTCCTCAGTCCTGTAAATCTGGCAAGAGCTCTGGCTCATCTTCTCATTCACACTTTGATCTTAATACCCTAGTCAACCACCACCAGAAACAGCACCTTAATTATTCATTGTTAACACCCGCTAAGGTAGGACTCCACCACACTCCTCTCCCAGGTTTGCAACTCCTAGACTGGAGGGGGTGTGGGCTAGGAGTCTAGGAACCTGAGTTCTAGTCTGAACAGCTGGTAACTAGCTGTGATCTCTCCAGGTTCCCATAGCCTTACATGTCAAGACATCTGGATAAGCATCTTTAGGTTCCTTCATACGCTACAAGTTTCACCATCTCCAACATCCCTCTCAAATCCTGCACTAGACAATTCCAGGTAAAACCATTCTTCTGTGAATCCCTCAATGGCCAGCCTACTACTAGATTACAACTTTCCATTGCAGCAAGTGATCTCAAGCCACAACTATTGAGATCTGGAAATGTGTCGGTTCATTCTGAAGTTCCTTATTCCTTGTTATCCTAGCTACTACCCCTGTGGTTGAAAATCATAGAGATTTTCAACCCAACCCAAAAGGAAGAAAGGAGTCAGCCTGAGGCATCTCGCTGCCAAATGAATCACTATGCATGCAATAAATAAACACGAAGAAAACAGGTCTGAGTCAAAGCAAAGGAATGAAATTATTCCTTTTTTAAAAAAGAAAGATGCTGACTGTTGTCTCTGGCAACAGATCGAAGCAGGAGAGAGTCAAACAAACTCCAGCATTTGGTTTTTCAGAAGCAAAAAGTCTATCTTCCTCAGCAGAGGGGAATGACAGAAGATTCTCAAATGTCCCATTTGTCATCATGATGGACAAAAGAAACTAGTGGTCCAAACAATGATAGGCTGAAACAAAGTCTCAGTTTCTTAAACCCAGAGAAGACCTAATGAAGTCACTTCGTTACTACAAGAACATTCTTCCAAACAAACTTGCCACCTCTGGCCCCAGCGCACCCCCCCCCTTCCTTGTAGTATCCAGATCCACCAGCCTGCAAAGCATTTCATTCCAAAGCTTACCTAGGCTTTTCCATGCTCCAGTGCCACATCAGCTAAAAACAACTGAAGTCTAGGCTGGTCCTGACTTGTTCCAAGTGACCCTGTGCACAGTGCAAACAACACTTACCCTAGGAACTAGGACTGAGCCCCAGTTTTATCACTACCTAGCCTACATTAATTCAGCTGTTTGAAATGTACTCAGACTCTATGGGCCAGAACCTCTCTGCTGGGCATTAAGGATACTGAGGTATCTGAAACACTCAAGTGTGCTGTTGTGGAACACACATTCTAATGGGAGCCTCAGTTTCCCCACCTGTATGTAAAATGAGGATGCCAGACTGAGTTGCCTGGAGAGCTCCCTCTGACATGAAAGTGCTAAGGTTTTATGATCTGACCCACTGCTCTAGTTAGTTGTACTTTCTTGTGTGGAGGCTCTGGATAAGCCTCCATCTCCACATCTATAAAGCCGATAGGGTAGATGTGAAAACGGACCCGTTACCTTGTGCAGCCACAAAGGGAGGTTTCCAGAGTCGCTCTGCAGGGAGTCCTTCTGCTGAACGGCAGCCCAGCAGTAAGAATCCACGAAGGCAGCCTGACGCCAGGAGAAAGAACTTGGGGAGAAACAGCTTATTTGTGTACCTGAGAAGCAAAACAGATGGTTCCAAATAAATGAAAATGCAGTTGTCTAGAGCCTTTCCACCCACTCACCTCTCCCTGCCTTCCTCATTTTACAGCATTATCCAAGTCATGACATGACAGAAGCAAGGACATAACCAAAGGCAGACTGGATACCAAACACCTGATTGTATAGTAACGCCAAGTATTTAAGAGCTTTCTGGCCAACACTGGTCATAAGGGTGGCTTGAGTTCTGTCAGGGAGAGAGACTCTTTAAGCAGTGAAACCACCATAAATTAAAAAAGTAAGCAGGAAAAGAACCAGAACCGAAAATCTGAGGATAAGTAGAATGTTCTAGTCTGGGGCAAGGGTGAAAGAAAGAAGGGGTGTGTGGAGCGCGGTGGTGAGGAGTGAGTCAATGCAGAAAACCAGATAAGAAAAGATGTCTTTCCAGAACAAAGAACTTTTAGCCTGAAGAAGGGAAGGCTGAGGGAACATCTGGTAACAAATCAAATCAAATCAGCACTTTTCCGTCTCTCCTCTAAGAAAAAGTGCAAAGTTGTAGCACTGTCAGTTTGCATTTGGAAGGCAGATGCTCAGGATGGCAACCTCCAGGCAAGGAGGTGCATTTTGGATAATATACTGGAAGGTATCCAGAGACCTAGGCTCCACTTCAGGATCCCACAAAACTTGCTCTCCTAGGAAGGAATGCTGTGACTGTTTTCATCTATGAAAACTATAGGCCCCATCACTCTGTTAATGTTACCATATGTTGGTTAAACTTGCAACCTTGAAGACTTGCCATGTTACTAAGTCCTTATGGGTTCTGAACTCACAGGGTCACACAGGGAAAAGTGGTCAATAGGACCTTCAGAGCTCAGGGAAGAAATGCATCTTCTCCCCTCACCAGCAGACAGAGAGAGAGCCTGGCACTAAGTCTGTCCTGGCAGTCCTGGTCCAGCCCTGCTTCCCTCTCCCCACAAAGCCCATGTAGGTCTGTGCAGTGCAGAAATGGTGCATGACAAATCATTTCTCTACAGTCTTTGTCCTAAGTTCCAGGGAGGTAGCCTCGAACTCCCTGACATTTCCCTAGTAATAGGAATGATATTTGTTACTCATGGTGGGCCTGATTCCATACTTGATAGTCAGCATTAACAATGGGGGTGAGGCCACTGTAGTTAGACCCACCAGAGAGACCCACCAGGTGATATCAGTTCAACCTCTGTGAAAAGGAGGGGGGGCTGAAGCTGAAGGATAGTCTCTGTACTGTCCTACATTGATGAGTTGATAATTTGTTGACCTCGCCAGATGGAACACATAGAAATCAAATAGACTACATCTGTGGAAAGA